AATAATAAAAAAGTAATAATGCAAAAATTAGCTGGGCATAGTAGCATGCGTCTTTAGTTTCAGCTACTCAGGAGGCTAAGGTGGGAGGGATCCATGAGCCATGGAGGCTGAGACTGTAGTGAGCTAAGATTGTGCCACTGCACTCTAGCCTGGGCAATAGTACAAGACCCAGTCTCAAAAAATAAAAAGATTAAAAAAAAAATCAAGTGGGATCACGTGAAGACAGGCAACAGGTAGTTAGTTATTCACTGGAGTGGCTTATGGGAATATTTATCATGGCATCGGGAAGACTGAAACTGGTCTGCCTCGATGGGTTGAGTGGTGACTGGTAAAAAGGACTCAGAAAGGTCGGGCACAGTGGCTCACACCTGTAATCCTAGCACTTTGGGAGGCTGAGGCAGGTGGATCACTTGAGGTCAGGAGTTCAAGACCAGCCTGGCCAACATGATGATACCTCATCTCTATTAAAAATACAAAAAATTAGAGCCGGGCGCAGTGGCTCACCCCTGTAATCCCAGCACTTTGAGAGGCCGAGGCGGGTGGATCACGAGGTCAGGAGTTCAAGACCAACCTGGCCAAGATGGCCAAGCCCCGCCTCTAAAAAAAAAATACAAAAAATTAGTTGGGTGTGGCGGTGGGCACCGTAATCTCAGCTACTTTGGAGGTTGAAGCAGGAGAGTCACTTCAACCTGGGAGGTGGAGGTTGTAATGAGCCAAGATCATGCCACTGCACTTCAACCTGGGTGACAGAGTGAGACTCAAATGGACTCAGAAATATGGTATGTGGCTCCTGCATCACTGTTGCCAGGAGTCTGATAATGCTTTTAATCTAATAAGTGCTGTTGTTTGAAAAAATGTAGCTTGATGGTGAAGAGAAAGAGAGCCTCACAGAGCGAGAGAGTAGCTTGAAGGGGATTCAGCAATGAAAGGGTTGTCTAGATACAAGGACAGGGAGATTTGAGCATTTAGGCAGTGTAAAAGAGCATTGGGGAGGGAGGTTTGGCTCTAGGGCCAGGTGGACCAGGTGGCCTGCCTTAGAAGGGAGAGGCTGGCAGAGGCAGGGGTGGAGAGAAGAGGTTCCCCTGAGCAGCTGAGCCCGCTCCAGCCTGACGGCCTCGCTTCTCTCTGGGGAGTAGGAGGCAAGAGCACCTGCTGAGCGAGCAAGAGGGGGCGGCTGGGAGTGGAATAAAGGTTTCAAGGAGTGGGTGGTAGAGGTTTTTGAAAGACCTGCTGTGGGAAACGTGCAAAGAAGCCGACTGGGGAGGTTAAGGGATTTCCAGGTAGCATCAAAGGCCTAGATGATGCTGGAAGCGTTAACCTGTAATGATTGCTCCAGTGCACTTGGTTATGTGATTTTCTCTGGCAAATGTGGTAGCCATGAATAGGATTCATGGGTGCAGGGCTTTTTCTGGGCAGGTCAGGAGGACAAGATGGAGTGAGCATTGAGGTGTCTTTGGTAAGGGTGTCTGAGACGACTGGGGAAGAGGAGGGGCTGAGGCCCGCGGGGGGCAGCCCAGGGTCTCTGTCTTGATGAAGTGTTAGAGCAGGGACAGTGGCCAGGAGGGAGAGCTGGCTGAACAGGAGGGGCTGAGACACAGGGTCATGGCCAGGGAAGAACTCTGGAATAAATCCAGTGAGGGGCCAAGGCTGAGAAGGACGTCTGAGTCGGAACAGAGATGATGGTCAATAGGACCAAGCAGGTTAGGGATTGCGAAGCCAGAAAACTGGATGGGTCCTCTAACGAGGAGGTTGCAGGACCACACAAACAGCAGGGGTCCAGAGCCGGCGTCTTAAACGTGGCAGGTGTCTGGCAGGCCTGAGGAGACAGCCACAGCGCTGGTGGTACAGCTGTCGTGGCAAGGGGCTTTGCAAAAAACAGTACAGGCCAGCTGGGTTTGAGAAGGTTAAGCTGCCTCCACTTGGGAGGACTGCAAAGAAAACTGTCCAGTGGGCACATTCCAGTGTGAATGGGGTGGTGGAGGTCGTGATGAGTCGGGAGGCTGAAGGGGAAGCAAAGCTTTCTTTTCAGAGGTTCCAGAGGGCCCAGTGAAGGGCTAAGCTGGGTCAGCAGAGGGGGTGGTTTGACCCTTGAGCAGGTGTGACCACTGAGGTCACTAGTGGTTCTGCCCTTCCTAGCCACGTGGCCTCAGGCAAGTCACTGCCCCCCCGCTCACCATCAGCCTAAAATCAGAAAATATCTACAGCCATGGGCTGGTATGCCTCATGGGCCTGGGAGAGCAGGAGGTGCTTGGAAAGAACGGGAGCTGGATCTGAACAGATGGGACAGGGCAGGGGGCAGGGATGCACCTGTGAAGACAGAAGGTGGGTGATCCGGCCACCCCCTTCCTCTCCTCACTAGTGACCTGGATGAGGAGAAGGGGCCTCAGCAGGGGAAGCATGGGCAGCAGCCCTTACCTGAAGCCCATCAGCCTGTCAGCATTCTCACCAGCCCTGAGCCCCACAGACCACCTGAGACATCCTCTGCCCCCAATGCAGCCCCCACTGCAGCTTCAGAACCCTCAGTCCCTCTCTCACCTCCCTCTCTTCCAGATCTTTCCCACCCACCCCCCAAATAAACCAAAAGTGGACACAAGTGTGAATCTTAAATTATTATTATTTCTTCCTGTCGCTTACACCCGAGGTGGGGGGTTGGGGTGGGGGAAAGGAAATAGGAGGGGGGGAGTGCCTCTCCCCCTAAGGCACTGACTGGGAAAGCCACAAGTAGGGAGAAGGGAGGCCACATTGTCCCCACTCTCTGGGGCTGGGCCCCAGGTCTCCCCAGCCCTGGGCTCCCCCCATCACCTGAAATGCTAAGATGAGGCCCAGGACAACCCGACCTCCCCACCACCCCAATATATTACATCATCACTTTTTAAATAGATACAGGGACTGGTCCCGCTACCCCCTCCCTGTGACCCCTCCCCACTGTTAGGGGTACCTGGGCAGCTGTGCAAATGGGCAAAGGGGTGCATGGAAGAGAGGAAGAGCACCGGGCCCCTGAACCTGCCCCTTTTAAGGAGGGGGAGGGGCCGTCAGGCCAGGAAGGGGAAATAGTGCAAGGCAGAGCCCAGGCTGCAAAAGGGGTCCAGCACCCAGCGAGGAAGGGGGGTTGTCCCCCACCCCCAGCAGAATTGGGTAGTTAAAAAATCTGAAACTAGATTTCAACAAGACCAACAGAAGAGGCTATGTACAGAATGGGGGTGGATTGAAACCTAAAAGAAGAGAGAGGAGGTTATTCTCCTCCGCCCGACAGGAAGCCCGGCTGGCAAGGATCTGGGAAGGGGATCACTTTTCCACAGGTCCGTAGCCCTTTTCCCTGCGGCCCAGCGAGAAGCTCCGTGCCCACTGCCTTGGCAAGGGGGCGCCGCTCACCAGGTGGGGTGGGTGAGGAGCGCGAAGACAGCTCGCTCCAGTGGCCGCGGGGGGCGCTCGCCGCCCAGGGCATGGCCGCCAGATGGCGCCGGCTCGCCCGCTCTCCGCAAGGCTCCTCCAACCCCTCACCCTGTCCCACACCCCTCGCTGCGCCAGCCCGGGGGCGGCGTGAGTCAGGGGCGGCAGCGGTGGCGGCGGCTCCGGCTCGCACCTGGGCGGGAGGAGGTGGGGAGGAGAAGAGGGTAGGACGCCGCCCGGCCCGCCCTGCCCTCTGGCCCCGGGGAGGGAGCGGCGGGAACAAGACATTCCCTGCCCAGGGCCACGGGGAGGGAGGGACAGGGAGGGGAGTGGAACCGAGCGGCTCCCCTAGCTGGGCGGGGCCCCCTCCACTGCCCCCAGGGGCGGGCGAGCCAATCAGGCCACCCCGCCCCCTTCTTCTCCAGGACCCCATGACTCAGCGCCGGGAGCAGGGCGGAGGGGGACTGGGATGGCTCCTTCCTTACAGGCCCAGTCCCCCAGTCTTTCAAGCTTCCACCTGGCTTTCCCCCACCTACCCTTCCTTTGCCGCCCCCTTTTGCATAATTCACTGCCAGGAAAAAGGAACAGAAACTAGGAAGGAGGGGTCTTGGAAGGGAGGGGCAGTCCTTCACCCCCGTACACAGCCAAAACCCCCGAGGGGCATAGGGGCGGGGCAACGCTTTGGTCCCAAGCCCCCACCCCCTAGAAACCCGCATAGCCGAAGTGGGACCCACAAATCAGAAATACATTATTGCTTCTACTCCCCAGGAGCAGCTGGGGACAGGGACCCCACTTTTACAATAGAGCTGTAAATATATACACAATATATGTATCACTCCTTGGGGGATCACCCCAATTTGGGGAGCCTCTGCCCCAATACCTTCTCAGCTTGGAATTGGAATGAGGGTTCTGGGAGGAAGGGCTGATGCTGATGCCAGCAAGGCTCCGTGCCCCAGACCCCTTGCTCTGTCTGTCCTGCGTGCTCCCACTGCTTGGCATGGGTGTCCCCGGCCTTGTGCTGCTTCAGCCTGGCCACTCGTCCCTCTTTAAGAGGACTCCATAGCACCTTCAGCCTGCGGTGTGGTGGGTGCCCCCTCCTCCTCATCGTCATCAGGGGGCCCCGGGGTAGAGACTGGGGGCCCAGTGGGGGCTGACTGCTCCCAGAATCGAGCTAGAGAGAGGCGGAAGGTGTCCAGGTGGCCATTGGAGAGGTCGAGGCCTGCGGGGGACGCAGCGGCGGTAGAGGGTGGCGGGTAGTGGGGTGGTGCATCGTCCTTGCGGCGCCGCCGGGTGCGCACTTCCAGGCAGTTCTGGCCCTTGAGGTGGCGCTGCAGGTGGTCCTCCTTGGCGAAAGCCTTGTGGCACAGGTGGCACTCATACGGCCGGTCCCCCGTGTGCAGGTGCATGTGGTTCTTGAGGTCGTAGCTGTGCAGGAAGCGGGCTGGGCAGTGCGGGCAGGAGTAGGGGCGCTCTCCCGTGTGCTTCCGCATGTGGATCTTCAGCTTGTCGTTCCTGGCACAGGCAGGGGTGGGGGGCAAGGAGGTGTTCAGAGTGGGATCCCTGGCTCCTCCTGGTCATGCCACCCCAGGCTTGTCTCCCATCACTGTCCCTCACTATGTGCAACTTCGCTATTGCCCCAGGACACCCTGCTGGCTGGCCTGTAGCTTAACAGGGCCTTGCCAGTATCCACTCTGCTTCCCGCAGTGCCTTCCTGGGCACCAAATCCTCCATGCTCTAGACACCTCCCCACCCATTGCCCTTGGCTTGCTTTCTCCTGCTCTCCTCACTCCAGTCACCCACTCATGCCCCAGCCTCTCCAGTACCACCTACCTCCACCTGGGGTTTCCCACCCTGTCCCCAACCCATGGCCCCTACCAGGCCCTTCACCACTTGCTGCTCACCGGGTGAATCGAACGCCGCAGACCTCGCAGGCAAAGGGCTTCTCGCCTGTGTGGGTCCTCATGTGGCGAGGCAGTTTACCCGCCCCGTGGATGATCTTGTGGCAGACAGGGCACTCCTGAGGCATCTGGGAGCGGCGTTTGCGCACCAGCTTGTCTTGGCTGTCCAGGCCTGGTGCCAGGTTGTCCTGGTGCAGGGAGCTTAGGTAGGCCATCAGGTCAGGATCGATGGCATCCTCGTCTGAGCCCAGCTCCTCTGGGGACAGCGGGGGCCCGCCCCCCTGCGCCAGCCCATAGGCCGGGGGATATACCAGCTCCTCTTCTTCTTCCTCACCCTCATAGGCCTCGTAGCTCTGGGAGCCCTCAGGAGGGGAGGCGGTTCCTGTGGGAGGGCTGTAACTGTCCCCCAGCCCACTGCCCCCACTGCTGCCCACTCTGCCTGCCACCTCTTCCTCCTCATAGGTCAAGGGATGGGCGGGCACTGCGGGCACCTCGGGGACTAGGTGGTTTGCTCTGGCCCCCTTGGTTTGCAGGAAAGCTTTCCGGGGCTTGCGGCTGCGGCGGGCAACAGGCCGAGGTGGCGGTGGTGGAGGTGGTGGGAGGGGCACCTGTGGAGGGCTGTCTTCACCATTGGGAACTCCAGAGGCCGTGGCTGTGGCAAAGGCCTCCAGATACTGGCGGGCTCTCTCACAGTCATCCTCGTCCGGGCTGGGAGCTTCCAGCCCACTAACCTGCAGAATCTCCATGCAGGCAGCGATGACACACGGGATCTCCAGCAGCCGGGCAGCCTGGAGAACAGCTGGCATGTTGGCGCTGCTGGTGGTCAGAGTGGCTGTATAGGCAAATTCAAGGAGGGCGCCTAGTGCCTCTGGCCCTACAAAGTCTAGCTCACACACGCCGGCCCCTGCTCCCCCAGCAGCTGTCCCGCCGCCCCCAGCTCCCATGACGGCTCCGCCACCACCCTCAGTGAACAGCTTCTTGAAGTAGTGGCTACAGGCAGCTAACACAGCCCTGTGGGTGCGGTATTCAAGGCCCTGGGTCCGGATGGTGAGGTCACATAGGTGGCCCAGCTGGCGCTGCTCATTGAGGCAGCTCAGGAGTTCACTGCTGTGGTCCGGGAATGGAATCCCAATCAGGTCATCCTCGGGGCTCCCCATCTTCTCCTGCAGAGTCAAGTAGAGGGGAGGTTAAGAGCGCTCAGCCCATAGGGGTCTGGGGAAAGAGGACCAACTTTAGCCAATACTTATTGAGGGATGACTCTCTGCCAGTCACTCTTCTGAGTACTTTACACCCATTTCATCTTCCAAAACGCTCCGCAGTGTGATCATCATCTGTTTCACAGACAAGGAAACTGAGGTTCACACAGGTGAGGAGACTTTCCAAGTTAAGTGCAGAACAGGGCCCAGTCCCTGTTCCTAACCACTATACTATTCTATTCTGCCTCTGTGGCAGCAGGAGCCCTGCCTTTCTGGCCCTTTCGTAGCGATCCATCTGTGTCACCTGCCCCATTCCCCATCTCTTTGGAAGGAGTGGTGGACTGGGAGATAGGATGCCTGGGTCCTGGCTCGGCTCGGGCTTCATGAAGAACTGACTGAGGGACTGGGGGTGGTATCGGCAGCTGGCCTCAGTCATTTGAAAAGTGAGGTAACGGTCTTTGCAATGGAACCTCCTCATAGCCTGGGAGAGGCCAGTGAGAGAGTTCAGACTCACACTGGACCAAGATCTGCTGGGGACCAGGCACAGCCAGGTGCTTTAAATCAAGTTATCTCTCTCCAAAGCAGTTGGGACACTGTAAAACATATGCAAACAAGAGAAGGCAGCTCCCAAGCATCATCCTCTTCCTCCTGTGCCCGTCCCCTGGCTATAAAAGTTCATCTCCCCTTCTAGATTCCCCCGCCAAACGGGAAACACAGCTCCCAGCATCCCTCCCCCCACATCCTCCCCTCCCCCCTGGGGCCAAGGAGCAGCCACCCTTTGCTGGGGTGTCACTGGCTGGCGCGGGTGCTTCCTGCCCCTCACAGATAAGCATCGCCCCCGCCCCCTCCCCCACTGCCAATAAGCCAAGTTCCAGTCCCACCCCCCACCTCCCCTCAGCTGCTGCCACCCCTCCCTCCCATTCTAGGAGAGCCCCCTGCCTCCAGAGGGCCTCTGTCCTGCTCCTTAGCCTTTTCCCTCCAAGGCCCAGCCACAGGAGGCGGGTGTGGAGCAGTCAGCCCTCCCAAGGCTGGCAGAGGTGCGGGCAGGGGTTGGGGCACCGGTCTGGCCTGCAAAGGGGTGAAACCTGCTTTAAATCCCCGCTCTGCTACTATCTTGCTGAACGACCTTGGGAAAGTCATTTCTCTCTGTGCTTCCATTTCCTTGGCTATGCAAGGAGGGGGTGGGAGTAGCAGACCCAGTGGCTCAGCCTTTCAGCCCTGACATTTTGTGGGTCTGGAGCAAGTGGAGACAGTGCTGAGGTCTGGAAAGAGCTGGGCTCTGGAGTCAGCCAGGCTTGAGTTTGAATCCTCTCTCTGCCACCAGTGAGCTCCATGACCTTAAACAAGTGATTTACTCTCCCAGCTGCCTTCCTCGTCTGTAATATAGGATAATTCCACCTGACTCCTAGTGTTGTGGTGAGGGTTAAATGAGAGCAAATACGGCACAATGCCTAATATGCAGTGGGGATTCAACAAATGTTCTGGCCTTGGCCTAGCCTGGGCTTAGATTCCACTATACAAATGGCCTCTGTTAAGAAAACTACTTGGGACAGGTCTGCCCACTCCCTCAAATCACCATGGGGGAAGCAGCGTACTACTCGCTACATGACCTTGGACAAGTCACTTCCTTTCCTGTGGAGGCCTGTTCCACATGTGTAATATTGAAAGCTAGCCCAGATGATCCTTAGGGCAAGTCCCACTGACATTTTGTCAGTGTCCTCTCTGCCACTCCAGCAGTTGCTCAGCTCTGGCCATTGATGAGGAAAGGTTTTTATTTGGGGGGGAAGTGAATAGGGGAGTCAAGAGCAACAAATTTCCTCTTTAGGACATAATGCATTGTCTGTGTCTGCCTCCCTGCCTGCCACTTCATTCGGGCTCCTGCACAGAAACCTTGGGTGAGCGGCACCCACGTGTCTGTCTCTGCTTGTAAGCCACATCTAGGTACCCTAGATGGCCCACCTGTTCCCACCTGAAGTCTGCAAACCACTTCTCTCCCCAGAAGCCAAGCTGCCTGGGAGCTCTCCCTGTTCCCTTTAATCCTCCTGCCTGTACTTTACAAATGGTACAAGTGGCAAATGGCCCCGAGACTTGGGAGCAAACAAAAACCAACCAGGTGGACAGCAGCAGCAGGAGCAGCAGCAGCAATGGTGACTGCAGCCACTTAGGCAGCGGTAGGCACCCTCCTGGGCCCAAGTGGGTCCTGTCCCTCCTAAGGGGGATGGGTGGGGCTGTCCTCACTGTCCATTGGCTGGGAGCTGGGCACTGGCAGGCACGTGGCTCACCCCATCCCTCTCCCTCCTTCCCTGCCCACCCCACCCATTCCGGCTGCTAAGCCCGCCTCCTTTCTCCTACCCCAGGGCCGGTCTCCGTGGCAACTTGGTGTGGTGGGGGCGCTGATTGGCTGACCTCACTGTCAGGTCACAGGCTCAGGCTCGTTCACCACGCAACTCACACAGGGATTGGGCAAGGGTGGGTGTTTAACTCCTTAGGCCCAAATCCAATGCCCATGGCCAAGAGGTAGCAACGAGAGAGGGGGAGAGGCAGAGGACATGCGTGGGAAGGAGAGGGTGTTCATAAGGTTCTATAGCTTCTGGGAAACTCCCACAACCCTTACCCAGGGCTCTAGCACCCATGTCAATATAGGTGCCACCTGGAACTATGGTGGTGCCAACCAGGCCAAGGGGGCCCTCCTAAAGCCATCATCTGGGAGGGATGGGTGGGGCAAAGTCCTCCTCCTTCTTTCTGCCAGGGTAGGGCACTGGTGCCAGGGTGCCCACCACACCTTGGGCACCTTTCCCACCTCTGCATCCCAGAGGCCCCAGTCCCCTGACGCCCCATGAAGGCGGCCCATCCCCACCCAGTCTGGCATGCCCCCTCTTGCTAAGACCTTGTGGGCATGGGCGTGTGTGGTGGTTGGGGGTGCAGCTGTGCCAGGGAACCGGGCAAGGTCTGTTTGGTCTGTTTGCCTGGTAGGGGGAAGAACTGGGGGCCCCGCCCCATCACGCCCCTCTTTCCCGCCATCCCCCCAGGCTCCCCTCACTGTCAGGCCTGCTAGACCGGCCAAGCCGGTGGGCAGCTCTCTTAAAACTGGGCCCTGAGTCAAGCCTGCCCCATCTTTGGTTGGGGGAAGACTTCAGGGTGAGAAAGGTGGGAGGGGGCAAAGGTGGGAGTGCCTATCACCTACCCGTCAGTGCTCAAGGGCACCTGGCAGGGTATGTCCAACACCAAGAAACCAAAAGGTAGAGGCCACTGGCCTGGTCTTAGAAAGAAAAAGGGAGACGAGAACTCTCTCCAGGTGCTGACCTCAGGCAGTGTCCAGTGCAGGGCTGGGGGGCACCAGGGTCAACATTGCTGGCTTGAGCCAGCTGAAGGGCAAGGATAGGAGGCCCTGAACAGGGCAGCTGAGTAAAGCTGGGCCCCCTTCCCCCCACCCTGGGGATTAGGGGAGTGAGGCTTAGTGTGGGGGGCAGCAGGCAGAACCAGGATTAGCGTCGGAGAAAATAGATATGGGCCTGAGACACAAGCACAGGGCCCCCCCACCCCAGGTTCCAAGGCCCCTACCTCTAGGCTCTGCGAGGGAGCCTGAGAGAGGCCTGGCCAGGCTTCTCCAGGAGCAGCAGCATGGGGTGAGGGAGGATGAGGACCAGGTTGTACCATCTTCCTGCCGGGGATGATGGAGAGACCTGAGGCTCTTCCCAACGCTCCTGGTGGCTTGGCTGGCCACCCCTCCCCCTTACTTCTGTCTCCTTTCTCCCTCCAACCCCCACCCCAACTCCAGCCTCAGGTTCTCTTCCTGTTTTTTTGGAGCTAAGTTTGCACGAAGCCAGGGCTTTGGCCTGCCTCTGGACCAGGGGGGTGGGGAAATTGGACAGCCAGTCCAAAGTCCTAAGGGACCCAGGAATCCTTGTTCTCCAGCTTCTCCCAGCGCTTCCCAGGGCCTCCGGGGCCCAGGGGCCGAAGCCATCTGGATTGCCCAGTTGGGGAGGGAAAGCAATGGGGCTGAGCCTCTTCTCACTTGAGGACTAGAAGGGCTTCAAAGAAGAGGTTCTCTGACCAGGGATGCCCTGGCATTTATGGAGCCCATCTCTCCCCACCCCAGCCCCTCCAAGCTGTGCATGCCTTCCCCATCCCCCATATGACGCTTCCCCCTCCTAACCTCACCACCCCAGCACTCACACTTCCTGGGGGCCGAGGCGGGGAAGAGAGACCGCAAGCCACGAAGGGGGAAGGAGGCGAGGGGAGTTGGCTGCTTCCCGGTGCTGTGGGGGTTAAGTCTCTCCCCAGCTCCAAATCCCCCAATCCTGGTTCTGGGGCTCCTGAAATGAGGGAGACCCTTAATGCTTCCCTACATTTTCTTTCCATGACACCAGCCATCGCCCACAGCCCCTTAGTCCCCATCAAGGGAAATATGAGGGAGATAAAAGATGGCGGAGGAAGGAATGAGGACAACTCTCCCAGCCTTCGCCCTCCACCTTTGGATATCCCCTGCCAAGCCCTCGCTCTTGCCCCTCTCTTGGCCTCCTCTTTCTGTCCACTCATTGCCTTCTCTGCCCCTTGTTTTCCCTCCGCAAGTTCACCCTTTGCTTCCTTCCTTCAGGCCTCCTGGAGCTCCGCACCCCCTCCACCACATCAGTGTCCCTCGGCCTCCTCCCAGGAGCTGTCCCCGCCTCTCCTTTCTCTTCCCCTTGGTTCTCTCTTGCTCAAACCTCTGCACTTTCTCCATTGGCCCCCTGCTCCGAGCATCCCTTCCCTTCTCCCCAGGCAAGTGAGGGGTGAAGAGAGGCAGAGGAATTAAATCAGGGCCCAGACCTGCCCTCCAAGGCCTGGTCTCGCCAAAGGATGGTCGAGTTTAGGGCACCCACACCCCACTTCTGGATGAAGCCGGAGACCACAATTTGGGAGCCAGTTGGGGAGAATGAGTGGTGGAGGGGGATTTGCAGCGAGAGCGGATGTGGGGTGGGGGTGGGGGGACAACCTGTGCCTCTCTGCCTGTCAGAGTTTCCAGCCCTGGAGCTGCTGGACTTTCCCCAGAGGATGCCCACCCTGGACCAGGCAGTTGTCCACTTGGACAGACTCTGGCCATCAGCGTCCCCAGCAGGGTCTGCCTGGGCAGTGCCAGCTCCCCTTAGGGCCTGAGGAGACCGCACAATGTGCCAGGGTCTGCCCTGTGCCCACCCCCTCCCCCCAGCCTAGTGTCCCCGGCTGGGTAACCGAGCTGGCTGGTAACCCCACACCCGCCAAGCTGCCGGCAGAAACCTGAGCCCCCCAGCCCCAGAGGACACCCCAGCCCGATCTCCGGAGCCCGGCTCTCTGCCAGGCTGTCCAGCCTCCTGGCCTGGCCCGGCAATCACTCAGCTCCTATAGGCCCCTCTGCTGACCCGCTCGGGTCCCCTCAGACACTGAGGCCTCCCCACATTCCCGTTCCTCAAGCCCTCAGTTCCCTAAACTCTCCTGTGAAGTCTGGGCACCCTCTTCCTGGCCTGTTTTTTAGTCCTCTGACCCTTGGCTAATTCTAGGCCTCCAAGCCCCCCTGGGGCCTGATCTCCCAAGCCAGAGCAGGGCCTACTCACCTGAAGGCTGAGGGGCCTGGCAGCAACTCCTCCTGACCCCTGGGGGCAGCAGGTTGGGACAGGTGGGGGAGGGCCAGGCTGGGGGGGAGGTTGGGTGGCTGTTCCCCGCTCCAGCTCCCTCCTTCAAAGGGGCCGCCCACGACCTGGCCCAGCCCCTCCCCCCTACAGCCTTAACCCTCTGGGTGCTGTCCCCCCTCCCCCCAGCTTGGAGGGAGGGGTTACCGGAGGGCTGGCAGCGTGGGAGAGGGCCCAGAGTCTCTGCCTGTGGTGCCTGAAGCCCCAGAACCCACCCGCTCCTGTCCTTACTCAGTCCTAAAAGAGGAAAAGGTGAGGGTAGGAAAGGTAGGAGCTGGGACAGTCCAGGAGGACAGAGATGAGGAGGAGCAATGGGAGAGGCCACTGGAGGTGAGGCCAGGAGAAGGAAGAAGGGAGGGGAGGGGACGGAGGTGGCAGTGGCCAGAAGAGGGAGGAGGGGAACCCTGGACAGTCAGTGCCAGGGGTGACAGGTGCCTGGGTCCCAGCCCCTCAGAGTATGTGGGATGGGGACCACAAGGAGGCCCTCCAGACCCCAGCAGGCCCCTCAGCCCCCCTGGGGAGCTGGCCGAATTCTCCCTACCCTGTACTGGGCTGGGGCCCTCAGGGGCTGGGCAAGGCGGCACCCCGCCCTCCCCATAGCCTCACCCCAAACCCACTCACATACCACAGTTCCTCGCCCGGGCACCAACCCCTGCCAACCAGGCCAGGGGGCAGCACTTGTGCCAGCCCCCAATAGCCGGGGGATCGGGGGAACAGGGCTGGCCTGAGGGGGATAGACAGATTGGGGGAGCTGTGGGCACCGAAAGAGGAAGGAGCCGGGAGGGGGCATCTGCTGGGAAGCGCCTAGCCCCACCCCTTGCGCAAGCTGCTGCCACCCTGGCCGGTTGGGTGGGACCCGCCTGGGCCTGAGGGGCAACTCAGGAGGGCTCTGAGCCCAGACATGGGTGGGCCACCAAGTTTCACTTAAACAACTCCTGGGGTCCCTTATTCCTGGATTGAGGGGTACCCTAGTGTCCCCCAGACATTAGGCTACCTCAAGTCCTGCTAGGCTTGGGGGTACCACAGAAATGCCCCCTAAAGTATCCCCTCCCCTTTCCCCCAACAGCTGCTGGCTCAATGCCGCTGGCCTGCTGCCCCTCACCAGCTCCCGGCCCGGTTGGCACCTACCCACCAGGATGCTGGCAGTCCTGCCCTCCTCTCCCTCCTACCCCCCTGCTCCCAGCGCCCCATGCCAACTGTGGGCCTGAGGTGGGGGAGGGTCACCCCCATGCCTTGGTGCCAGCCAGGCGGGCCCAGGTCCCTAGGCCCTACAGATAAAGCCTAAGACCCTGTTCTCAAGCCATATCCTCAAGAGGTAGCACATTGGTCAGGGCCTACACAGAGAGAACCTAGGAGGCAATGGACAGCCCCTCGAGCAGTTAACGAAGGCTCCACACCCCAGGGTGGGGGCCAGTGTCTCTCCCTACCACCAGGCGCCAACCTCCCAGCATTCCCCCTGCCCAAGCAAATGCTTGGGCACCAAAGTCCCTGCAATTCCTGAGAGCCCTAGTGCCTGCAGCCTGCGAGGGAGTGGGGTGGGGCTGCTCTCTGCCCTTTGATCCCCATAAAGGGAGGGAACCAGCCTAGAGGGCAGGGGGCAGGGAGGGAGTTCATGGGGCCCCTCTGTTTCACCCCTGCCAGGGGCAGCAGGGCAGGGCGTGGGCATCTTTTGGGTGGGGCACTAAGGTGAGGACAGGTAGCATGTCTCAGCAAGGGAGATGGATGTCAATCATGGGTACATGGCATCCCATGGCAATGTGACAGCAAGAATAAAGTGGGGGGATGCAGAGGGTACCCACATTCCAACCCATCCCAGTTCTGGCTTTTACCCTCATCTAGAATCACTTTCAGACTCAGCCAAATTGAGAGCTCAAGGACTACAACTCCCAGTGTGCACCACAATTGCTTTGTATGTACCTTGGGAGTTGTAGTCCCCTTGAGAAGCTCTGGGTTCTCTTCCCCAGAGCCTTGCTGATGGATGGGAAGGACAGATGACTTGGTCATGGATCTCCAAGGGGGCTAGGTTTAAGAAGAGGTAAAAGGCTAGGATGGCCATGGTGGAGGAAAGAGGACCCCTGCTCCCAGGCAAAGGGGGAGGAAAGGAGGAAGGAAGGAGGAGAGGATGTCTGTTGAAAGGGGCATATGGGTGGGGAGGAGTTGGGGGGACGGTGGAAACAGGAAGGAAACTGAAGCCAGAGACATGAGGTCGAAAGTAAGGGCCTGGGGGAGCCCCACTCCAAGGCCTGTCAGGGACTGGGAAGGCATTTCCCCATGTCATTCTGCTGGCCTGGGAGGAATAAGAGAAATCAGTGATGTCAAAAGATAGCATATTGATATATTTATGGGGGAATCACTGCTTCATTTGCCTGCCATCAGCCCTCTTTTGCCTGGGCACCCTCAACCCCTGAATCTGCACAGGTTATCTGCTGACTGGGAAGCTCTGAAGGTTGACCTGGTTCTGGAGAGGATAACAGGCAAAGGAAGGGGTTTGGGGAGATCAGGGCTAGGCCTGACGGTAAATATGGTAGAGGTACATGTGGGGTTAGGCCCAGGTGTGGTCAAGGCAAGTGCTGGCAAATGAGACCCTTGCTGTCCTCCAGAGCAGAAGCCATGGCAGCTGGAGGCTGCAGGGAAGACAGGGCTAAGATGTCCATCCCAGGCTGTGGGACAGGATGAAAAGGGCAGCCCTCTCTGGTCTCCCTGGAGAATTTGTTAAAGTAGCTTTTTCCCTGTGCCAGTCAGCCAGTGAACATTAAAGAAAGCAACTGAGGGGGCCAGATGGTAGCTGGGTGCCTTTCCCTGGTAGGGGTGGAGGTCAGAAGTGGGCAGAAGATCTGCATTGAGGCTACTTTTCCTGGGCTCCCCAAGGCTCTGGGACAGATGCTGGCAGGCCCCAGCCAGGACTCTTGCCAAGACCTGGGCCTGGCTGGGTGTGGGGGTCTTTCTTATCCCAACCCACCAAACACTTGATGGTGGATGACAGCAGCTTTATCCCCTTCCTCCCAGTCCCCCAGGCTCACCTTGGCGCCTGGCCGCTTATGTGTTGGCAAGAGTGGGGGGGGAGGGGGCAGCGAGGCAACTTCAAACTGTCCGGGCAAAACGTCAAGTTTACTCACGAGTTTACTCAGCACAAGGAGGGGGAAGAGGCCAGGGCGGGCACACCCCATGCCAGGGTCCTATCCATCTGCCTGTCCCCACCTTCCTCCCCCAGTCTTCTCTCCAGCCCTAGGCCAAAACAGGCATAGGCCCTAAGGCCTGGTGTCAAGGCAGTCTTAACTCTCGGGAAGGTCAGGGAGCCAAGCGGGCCAGAGGCAGGAAGCCCCGCAGCAGGCCCAGAGGCTTCTGTCAGAGGGCAGTGCCCTGCCTGGAGCCCATTCACTACTCATCTTGGGGCCTTGGTCTTGGGCCAGGAGAACTGGGTCTCTCAGGCATTAAGAAGGGTGCAGTACCAGGCCAAACCTCCTCCACCTGAGCAGTCCCCTGAGCAGTGACTTCTGACCCCAAATGCCCAGTCCTAGGCTGTCCCTCAGTATGATGCCATAGGATCAGGGGTTGGTTCTCTCAGCCTTGGCTGGGAATGGGGGGCTGGCACCCTATCTGACCTACTTCCCTTTCCTCCCCACCTGCTTTCATTCTCTGCTTCTCTCCCCCAGCCTTCACTGTCCCCACCCCAGAGCGCTCCGCCCCCCATGCCTGCTGGGCCCCCTCCCCCACCCTTCCCCAGGGTGCCAAGTGCAGGCACACAAAGGGCCTGATGGTGCATTGTTAGCCCAGCCCCCGCTGCCCGCCCGCCGCACCCTCCCTGGGCAGGCACTAGGCCAAGGAGGAGCTGGGGGCCCTGGGTGCCAGGGGGCACCATGGGGAAGGAGAAGGGGACAGCACCTGTCTTCCAGATGCTGGGGTCTACATCAGGCTGAGTAGTGATGAGAGTCCCATTAGAGCAGGCCTGTCTCCTTGACACCTGAGCCTAGTGGGCACTGCTTTCTTTCTTCCCCAGAGCCCCATTCTGGTGGTATTAACCCCTTTTTGACCCCTGTGCCAAGTATGGGGGTGTGTGGTACCCAAGGGAAGGAACAGTGTCTGGGGGTGCCAGCAGGTTGTGTTGTGCCCACAGCAACCATGTAACAGAGGCACGCTGGGGGAGCTGGGGTCCCGGGGGCCCGGGACAGAGGCACTGACAGAGATTTCTCCTTGTTTCATCAGCTGCTCCAGGGGGAGCCCCCTGCCCTTCTCCCCAGTTACCACTAAGGAGGAACACTACCACCCAAACATAGTCACAAATATGTCCCTCTCTAGCGCAGCACAACACTCCTTATGCCCACTCTCTCCTCCCCAACCTGATGCCCACTGCATGCCAGCTCTCCCAGCAGTGCCAGGCGGGTACAGGGGTGACCAAACCAGTTGGTGTGTGTGGGGCAGCAGGAGACAACCCCATAATCCTCCAGGCCTCAAACCCCACTCACACATACTCCCTTAGGGAACAGACAGTTCCCATCCTGGTTTAACCCCTCACAGCCCAATCTGGTTCCTTCGCCCCTGATAAGCGGTCTCCCTCCTCCAGGAATAAGTTGGGGGAAGGGGGAATAGCTGCGCTGACTCATTCCCATTCTCAGCTGCAGCTAGGGGTCTCCAAAGCATTCGGGCGGGGGGTCAATTCAAGAACACCCTCCACCTGGCCCGGAAGCCAGGACAGCCTGCCGGTCTCCCCCTCTCCCCAGCACCCACTTCCGGTGTCCCAAACTAGGTCAGCAGCGCTCGTTTCCTGTGGGTCAGCTAGCACCGGCGCCTCTGCCCCTCCCCTGCTCCGGACCCAAGCTCCCTGCCTCCCCCCCCCGGCCCCCAGGGCGCCCCGAGGTCTCACCACGTCTCAGCCGCCCTTTGATACGTGGGGGTTGTGCGGGGCGGGGGGCAGGGACCCGCCCTCTCTCTAAACACCAGCAGGGCCGGGGCGCCTGGGCAGGCACGTGTCCGGGCACAACCCGCTGCCCACGCCGCCCCCCCACTCCCACCCCCACCTCGCTCTGGCCGGGACACGTCGCTCTCTTACTTGGGATGGGGTGGGAGGAGGGAGAGAAAGCTAGAAATTGAAAGCAGCGCCCCCCACCCCTTTGAATGGCAGCCTTCTGCCAGGCGCACTCTGTAGATTCTATAACACAGTAGCGACCCCCACTTCGGGCTGGGGCAGGTGCGCCGGCGCCTGTGGGGGGACGGGTGGTAGGTAGGAGAATTCTTCCTAGTCACCCACCCTCGCTCTCGGGTTCTGGGGACATGAGCTGGCTTGGGAAAGGTAGCGGCGGGACTGGAGCCTGAAGGAAAGGAGTGGAATTGAGAGGCAGGGGAGAGAGGGGTCGCTCTCTGTCGCTCGGAGGTTGTTGCTGAGCCCCACCACGGCTGGAGAGAGCGCGGCTCTGGAAGCGCCAGAAACCGAATAGTCCAGCCGGTAACTTTCCCCCAAGCCGCGGCTCCTCCTGCGCCCCCCCCAACCCCCATGCAACTGGCCTGGGGCCAACCCACCGCGCCAGGGGGCGCGGGGTGGCGGGGGGGGGGGGTTGCGCGTTGTCCTAGTTAGAGTCCGTCAGCGT